GGAAAAACAGATTTCTCACATCAATAGCAATCATGGGGAGGGAGTCACTTGGTTTCCCAAAGTATCACCTTGTCTTTGAAAGGAATTCTCCTTTCCTTGCTTGAAAAATAAAGATATGTCTTAGATTACATAGGTGGCATCCCCTGGTGATGGTACTCTGATACAGTGTCATTCTGTGTGCCCACTGTGTGGCCCTGGAGGGGGTCATACTGTGCACACTCCATAACCATGGAGGTGGTCATACTGTGTGTCCACTCTGTAGTTTCGGAGGTGGTAACACCAGTGGGGATTGCATATGTGAGAGGCTTTGCTGCATTACCTCTAGCAGTGCCTCTTTGATGTAGGTGTCACCAGTAGCTGCATTTTCAGTGTGAATTGTACACAGCAGGGTCAACATTCAAACACAGGTTTTTTACCACATTGCTGAGACATGTACACTAAGGGCCTTTTGTAAGCCTCACAATAATCAGTCTGCTTTTTTCCCTAAAGGTGGAAGCTACAGAAAAACTGGAAAAAAAAAATTAAAAAAAGAAACAAAAATTTCCAAGGGAAAGATCCTCCTGTGAAGCACAGACCAGTGGAACACTCTTGGCTGGCTTGGTGAGTTGGAGAATTGGGGTAATAACTTGATTTGGTGCTAGAGCCACATTCCACACACACAGTCTCATTTCCTTGGCATCCCCTTGTGTGTGTAGAGATCCCAGGGGCACACAGTCTCTGTAGGTACTGAGTAAAGTTACAGATGCTGCCTGAATGGAGTGGTTATTTACTGGGGCAATCCCATGTCCAAGTGGTTGGATGTGATGTTGGTTTTTAGGCAAGCTCAGAAGTTAGTGCTTTGGCTAGGTAGCCTGGTTATCAGCCTCAGTAACTAAAATAGCAGAACAGGGCAGCTTCTGTGCATTGTAATAAACCCAGGATGGTAAAGACAGACAAGGAAAACTATGTGAAGCTTGCTGAAAGATCAGAGATGCCACTGTACAGCAAGGACTTAATATACATTGAACACTAGGTGTCATTTAAGGAAAACCACAGTGGAACCAAGACAGCTCAGGCCAGCCCTACCTCCTGGGCAGTGTGGGTCACAGCTTGGTGTCCACTCAGATTCCTGGCTCTGTCATCTATATTGAACATGGCCTAGTGCATTCAAGGCAAGTAAGTGGTCTACCACTAACCTTTCTAGCTCTTTTTATTTTGATACACAGTCTTTCTATGCTGTCCAGGCTGGCCTTGAACTTGCGATCCTCTTGCCTTCAGCCTCCCAGGTAGCTGGAAATCTAACATGGAGTGTGGAAATTTTGAAGCTGATGAATGGGTAAACATTCCTAGTGCATGCAAGCTTTTCATTGTTTCTATTTTGCCTTACTCCTCTCCAAATATTTAATCAATAAAGTCTGTAGAGCTGGCTTTTACTCTCTCTGAGTGAAATGACAGTATCCACTTCAGAAGGGCACTTGGCAAACACCAAGTGCGACGCCTCCAGCCTCAGACCTTGTGCTCTGATGCCTATCAGTGGTCCCTGGGCAATTCTCTCGTTGCAAATCAGGGCTTTTCTGGGCTTTAGCAGTCTCTTTCACTGCTTTACTGCCCTGTGAGCTGAGATATTATGCCCTTTCTGCCCATGAGGAAATGGGCCCTGGGTTGACCAGTGGACTGCCAGGTACTGAGTGGGGAGCCAGAACTGTCTCCTGGATGGAGCCCAGCGCTGTGTTCCAGCAAAGCATCAGATGAAAGGAGAGCAGCCTGGAGGCCGCCCCAAAGCCCTGCTTCTTATCCTTGGTTCCATTAACCCGCAGTCCACAAGCGCCCCCAACGGCATCCAATTTTGGACAGCCTTTCGTTATTGAAATTCTGTTCCTAAGTTATCTGAAATAATTAAAACCCCCAAAACTTAGTACTCGGTCGTAACAGAGAATGGCAAGGGCGAAACAAAGGCTTGCTGAAGGCTCCTGATCAGCGGCGTTTGTTCCACGCGCACCTGCTCCAACTTTGCCTTTCTGTCGGCTCCTGGGCTGCATCTTGCTCTGCAGAACTAGCTTCTTGGGTAGCTACCTTGCTCAGCCAAAGAATTAAGCTGACAAGCAGCGGTTCTTCTCAACTCAGCAGACGCCAAGGCGATAAGCTGTGCCTTCTGGAAGCCCGACGAGGCTGAGTCTGATGCTTATCGTCCCTCTCTGCAGGCTCTATGGATCGGTGTCTTCCAGAAGCCCAGCAGCCCCCGCACCCGAGCTGGTTAGGGGCGGGGCAGGGGGCTCCGCCCGAGGAGGCCACCGCGGGACCCCCAGCAGGTAAACGACGGCTCTGCCACTGTATCTGTCTGTCTGAGAGTGCTCTCTGTTTGAAAGAAGAACTTCTAGGACAGCAAAAACAGTTTAGATTTGTTTCTACTTTTCTCCCAAACGCACTCCTGGCAGCTTCTTCCTACAGTGGATCCCTGTCCGCCGGAGGCATTTTCTCCTGATGAGATAGCGGTTTAGAGTGGCATGTCTGGGGATGGATTCGGAAGCAAATAAATAATAGACACAACCAAGGTTGTAAGAGCCATTTCCAGTCATTTAAAGTGATAAAAATACATCCCAACTGTGCCAGTGAGGATGCTACCTATTTTTACTGAATCGTTTACATAAAATGTAACTGTCTCTAAAATCTGATTGCCTTAAATCAGTCTGCCCTAGGCATAATAATTGAAAATATCTAAAGTGCAGTAAACATATTTTTCTACCTTTGCAGAATTTCAGGTCTTACATAAAACTATTTATATGCTT